CCTTTCCCCACTTTCAGCGAGCACACCCAAAGCAACAGACATTCCTCATTTCTAAGCACTTCCAATTTCTCAAGCACCACAAAGAAAACGCTGTATTTTCACCAACTCTGCACCTTTTCCTCCCAGTCTTACAAACACGGCAGCACCAGTGGCAGACACAGCTAAGCCTGGGGAGGGGGCAACGCTGATGGAAAATTCCTCTCCGGCACAAGCAGTGAACCAGTAAAAACAGCATCTCCCCAAAATGTGTACTAACCGTGTCGAAGGACAGGTCTGACCCAGGGACGCTCCTTTTTTCACCCCATAGCCCAGTTCTCCCAAACTCTCTCTGTTGTCCCCTTTAACCTCTTTAAAGATCATTTCTGTTCGGGTTGAGATTTGGACTTCACAGGTGCAGCAGCTTCACTGGTGCTACTGGTTTAACAGTCCCATTTCCAGACTGACCATACAAAGCTTCAATTCCAGCCAGCTCTCAGGTTTGCTGAAAGCTCGTACAAGGAAACCTACTCAACCTAGAACTCCAAGAGTTTGCTGCAATATCTCTAAGTCCCTCCTAAATTCAGTAAAACTGGCAGCGCCAGGCTCGATCTCAATTATTCCTGAAATCAAGAAACAGAGGCAGGACCAGGTATGTTCAGAGCATCACTTGGCTTCCAGGAGACCTTCAGAATCACAGAATGATATGGGGTTGGAAGGGGCCTTTGCAGATCATCTAGTCCAACCCCCCTGCCAAAGCAGGTCCACCCAGAGCAGGTTGCACAGGAACATCTCCAGGTGGGTTTGGAATGTCTCCAGAGAAGGAGACTCCACCACCTCTCTGGGCAGCCTGTACCAGGGCTCTACCACCCACATAGGAAAGAAGTTCTTCCTCATGCTTAGGGGGAACCTCATATGTACAAGTTTGCGCCCATTTCCTCTCGTCCTATCCCTGGGCACCACTGAAAAGAGACCGGCCCCGTTCTCTTGACACTCTCCCTTCACCTGCAGATTAACACCTAGCAGCCATGTTGGACACCCTATAGAACTAGACACCCGTTTAGGCAACAGAATCCCTTCCAAAATCTCCATTCATTGTAGCAAAGAGCTTAAATTTGTAGGGCAAGTTCTGGTTGTGGATGCCCCATCCCTGGAAGTGTTCAAGACCAGGCTGGATGGGGCTTTGAGCAACCTGGTCTAGTGGGAGGTGTCCCTGTCCATGGCAGGGGGGTTGGAACTCAATGATCTTGAAGGTCCCATCCAACTCTTGACTATTCTATGATACTTATCTCATCCACAGTTGTGATACTGTCATTAGCACAGCTCCTACGACTTGGACAGAACTTCCATTTGCACAGCTCAGGGCTGCCATCCCTGTTACCTCTCCCATAACCTCCTGCAAACCCCATGGCATTCTCTGAACTGGTGGTGGCTACAGTAGCCCCAAATCCACCACCAGCAAGTCACCTTCTTCTCATCCAGCACTTCAGGCAGGCAATCACGTTATCCACCCCAGCTCCAAGCCCCACTGCTCTAAATGCCTTCCCTGCTGCCAGACCCAACTGCAGCAGCTCTGAGCTCTGCCCCAGGGGCTCTCCAGGACTTTTCTCCCCCCACAAACACACAGAGCAGAGGTAACCCACAACCCCACAGATCCCCAGAACGCCCAAGGAACAGGAAACACATCCCTCTCACAGAATCACAGAATCATGGAATTGTCAGAGTTGGAAGGGACCTCTAGAGATCATCTGGTCCAACTCCCCTGCCAAAGCAGGGTTGCCCAGAGCACATCACTCAGGACTGCATCCAGGCGGGGCTTGAAGTTCTCCAGAAGAAGGGAACTCCACGACCTCCCCAGGCAGCCTGTTCCAGGGCTCTGCCACCCTCATCCCAAAGAAGTTCTTCCTCATATTTGAATGGAACTTCCCATGTTCCAGCTTGTGCCCGTTGCCCCTCATCCTATCGCTGGGAACCAACGAAAAGAGTCCGGCTCCATCATCCTTCAACCCACCCTTTAGATACTTGTAAACATAGACAAGGTCTCCCCTCAGCCTTCTCTTCTCCAGGCTAAAGAGTCCCAGCTCTCTCAGCCTTTCCTCATAAGGGAGATGCTCCAATCCCTCCATCATCTTTGTTGCCCTACGCTGGACTCTCTCCAGCAGTTCCCTGTCTCTCTTGAACTGGGGAGCCCAGAACTGGATGCAGGATTCCAGCTGTGGCCTCACCAGTGCAGAGCAGAGGGGGAGAATGACCTCCCTCCACCTACTGACCACACTCTTCCCTACGCAGCCCAGGATCCCATTGGCCCTCTTGGCAACAAGGGCACATTGCTGGCTCATGGAAAGTTTGTTATCCACCAGGACCCTCAGATCCTTCTCCTCAGTAGTGCTTTTCATACTACTGGAAGGTAGTTCTCTCGGCACAGGAGGCAGAAGCAGCCCGGTTTCTCCACACACACACAGAGCCTATACCCACTCCTTCAGGGCACCCTTGCTCCCCCCAGTTTCTCCACACTGTGCACCCCCCTTCATCTCCCTCCCAGCACTTACAGATCCATCAGCAGCACCGACAGCTCCATCTCTGCACACATGTCACTGCTGCCCTCCCCACCACATTACACCCTCCCTGCCCCTAATGTAGGGCAGCAAAGGGCCTCCCCCCCACAGACTCGTGACCCTCCAACCCCACCGACAGCCCGAGCCTTGCTCATGTCCCCTCAATTCTCCCTGTGTTCAGACCCCGCAGTGACCCTGACAGCCTCCCTCTCCTCACATATCAGCGCCTCCCCACACTCTCCCAACAGGACACTGACACCCCCTCCTGGGACATCCCCACACCCAACAGACTCCTACCACCCCCTCATCCCCCCAGGACTGACCCAAGCAACAGGACATCCTGTCCTCCCACACCGTGTACTCTGCAGGTACCAGCAGGTCATCTGCCCTGCTCAGTCCCTCCACTGCAGGTTCTGCAGGGACAACCTTGAGGGACACACAACTTCATCCTCTGTCGCACTGCCAGCCCCAGCAGTGATACTTGTCACCTCTTACTCCTCCGTGACCCAGCCAAAGTCCTTCACTCTGACTCACAGACCTCCTTTCTTTCTCTTCTCTCACTTGGTGTAAACTTACCCCTTCCACAGTTCCACCCCAGCACAGCCTCACCCCAAATCCATTGAGGTCCTGGCCATCCTGCCCCCCACCATCACTCCCAGCTCCATCTGCAGGTGTCACCTCAATGGTGGTGTTGGCTACCTCCAGTCCCACACGTATCCAGCCAAACCTCTTCCACTGCATCCACATGAGGACACTCACACCTCGTGCCACGTGCATTAAATTTATCCCCAGCCCCATCCCTCCTGTTCTCCATACACATACTCCACACCTCCCACATGAAGCCCCATCACTTTCCCACATCCCATGTGCTACAGCTCCATCTGTCCCAAAAAACCACTCTCCTGCATCTCTGCCTTCACACACTGGAGACCCACATGCTCCTCTCCTCCCCACATTCCCAGCCCCACAGTACCATCACTTCCCTCTGTACATACACATCCCCAGCCTCATGTATATGGCCCCAAGCCACCCCAGTTCCTGACAATCCCTGCCCACCCCCATACGGTGCTGGAATGGGTCTGGAGGAGGCCACAGAGATGACACCAGAAGTGTGGAGCACCTCTGCCATGAGGACAAGCTGAGAGAGTCAGGGTTGTTCAGCCTGGAGAAGAGAAGGCTCCGCAGAGACATTAGAGCCCCTTCCAGTACCTGAAGGGACCTACAGGAGAGCTGGGGAGAGACTCTTGATCAGGGAGTGGAGCAACAGGATGAGGGATAACGGTTTTAAACTGAAAGAGGGATGATTCAGATGACATATTGGGAAGAAATTCTTTACTCTGGAGGTGCTGAGGCACTGGAACAGGTTGCCCAGAGAAGCTATGGACGTCCCATCCATGGAGGTGTCCAAGGCTCCAAATCTGGATGGGGCTTTGAGCAACCTGGTCTAGTGGGAGGTGTCCCTGCCCAGGGCAGGGGGATTGGAACTAGATGATCTTTAAGGTCTCTTCCAACCTAAACCATTCTATGATTCTCCACTCCCAGTACATCCCCTCCAGATCCAACAGACCCCAGCCCCAGCAGCAGGGCCAACACTCCCACCTCCCCCTCCCATCCACATACCCTGCTACACTGCAGAGAAGATGGGGCAGCACCTCCATCTCCCCACCACCCAGACCCACTGCCTTAGAGCTCCCTTTTCCCCACGTTCACGGTTCCCCACGTCCCCAAGTTCACGGCCTCAACTCCTCACTCATGCCAACACCCCAGACCCACTGCCCCACAGCCCACCTCTCCCTCAGGCTAGGGCCCCTGTGCACCAGGACTGCCCCACAGCTTCCCCTCTCATCTTCTCACAGCCCATCTCCCCTTGATCTTCCCCCAGTTGGAGCACCCCACAACCCACCTCCCCACAGCCTGATCTCCCCCCACAGCCCCAGCGCTGCCCCACAGCCTGATCACCCCCCCATGCCCTCACCTTCCTCCACAGACCCCTTCCCCATGCTCTCTCCCCACAGAACTGCCCCACAGTCTGCTTCCCCACGCCATCACAACACTGCCCCACAGCCTGCTCTCCCCCACTCACTCACATCACACCCGATGCCCCACAGACCCCAGCACTGCCCAAAGCCCACCTCCCCATGCCCTTCTGCCACATTTCCACCACCCTCCCCTTGCAAAGCACCCCCCTACACTGCCTCCCGCCCCACAGCTGGCCTCCCCATGCCTCCACAGTGCTACCCCACAGCTTCCTTCCACACAGCCCACAACTCTGCTCCCCAGCCCCCCTTCACAGAACGGCCGGGGCTGGCAGGGACTTACGGAGGTCGCTTGGTCCAGACACCCCTGGCTCAAGCCTCCCAGGGACCGCGTTCAGCCGTCAACGACTGCGTCCTTCGCCGCAGCCCCTCTCCCCCCGCCCCCAGCACAGCCCCACAGACCCCATCCCGGCCCGGCCCGCCCCGCACTCACAGAGCTCGCAGTAGCGGTGGCAGCCCCGGCCCAGCCCCTGCAGGTACCGCTGCAGCACGTCGGTGAGGAGGTCGCAGGCCGAAACCTGCACCGAGTCCCAACCCAGCGCCTGGCAAATCTGCGCCACCGACACCCGCAGCAGCCACCGCGAGTAGGTCTCGCACATGCCGGCTGGGCTCGGCTCGGTGCCGCTCCGGGGGCCCGCCCTGGGCCGGGAGGGCCGAGGGAGAGCTCACGCACAGCCCGCCGCCGCCGCCATCTTGGCCGCCGCGCCTCCCCGCGCCGCCAGCGCCAGGCCCCGCCGGTCCAGCGCCGAGCGCATCGAGCGGAGCGCAGCGAGGCGCAAACGCCGGGGCGCATCAAGCGCTCGGCTATCGGCAAGGCTGGGCGGGACGGACGGAGGGGACCTGGCGGCGGAACGGTCGCGCCTCATAACAGAGAGGCTGGAGTTCGCCCCCCAAAATCCCCGAAATCGGTGTTTTTTACAGCGCTGTGAGGAGAAGTTGGTGTCAGGCGGCCTTTCGGAGCGCTGGGCTTCACCGGCAGTGAGGGACCGCGGCTCCTCCGCAGGCCCAAAGCGGCCGAGCGGGGACCGTTCCCGTGAGGCGCCGGAGCAGAACCCGGGCGCATCATTTAAACAAGCAGCAACGGCAGCTGGTACCGGAAAGCTGGACATTCTTCATCATCCAGTGAGGTGGACTGAGTCCTGGCTGTGTGACAGAACTCAGAGGGTTGTCATGAATGGAGCAGGGTCAAGCTGGAGGCCTGTAACCAGCGGTGTCCCCCAGGCGTCGATACTCGGCCCAGTCCTGTTCAACATATTCATCAGTGACCTGGGTGAGGGGACAGAGCGTATTCTCAGCAAGTTCGCTGATGATACCAAACTGGGAGGGCTGGCCGGCACTCCAGAGGGCTGTGCTGCCATCCAGTGTGACCTGAAGAGGCTGGAGAGCTGGGCAGAGAAGAACCTAATGAGGTTCAACAAGGGCAAATGTAGGGTCCTGCAGCTGGGGAGGAAGAACCCCAGGCACCATTATAGGTTAGGGATGGATCTTCTGGAAAGCACTACTGCGGAGAAGGATCTGGGGGTCCTGGTGGATGGTAGGATCTCCATGAGCCAGCAATTTGCCCTTGTTGCCAAGAGGCCAATGGGATCCTGGGCTGCGTAGGGAAGAGTGTGGCCAGTAGGTGGAGGGAGGTCATTCTCCCCCTCTGCTCTGCACTGGTGAGGAAATGGGAGGAAAAACTTCTTTCTGGTGAGGGTGGCAGAGCCCTGGCACAGGCTGCCCAGAGAGGGTGTAGAGTCCCCTTCTCTGAAGACCTTCAAGCCCCGCCTGGATGCAGCCCTGAGTGATGTGCTCTGGGTAATCGTGCTTTGGCAGGGGAGTTGGACCAGATGATCTCTAGAGGTCCCTTCCAACTCTGACAATTCCATGATTCCCTGAAAACTATCTATGTAAACCCCTGTTGGATTATTTTTCTTTTTTTTTTTTTTTTTTCAGCTGGACAGACAGCTGGGTGTCTGCCCTCCCCATCCCTGGGTTTCCCCCTCTGCTGTGGGACACAATGCATCCCCGTAGTCACAGACAGCAAATGTTTGCTGCCAATACCTTGCCATTAAATCATCTGGATGAAGCCCATTAATGAATTTTCACACTAAATGGTTGGTTGCATTCAGAAGGTGGTGGTCAATGGCTTAATACCCAGGTGGAGATCGGTGACAAGTGGTGTCCCTCAGGGGTCCCTGTTGGGACAGGACAGCACAGGAGAGACATAGACCTGTCAGAGCAGGTCCAGAGGAGACCACAGAGATGATCAGAGGATGGAGCCCCTCTGCTGTGAGAACAGGCTGAGAGAGCTGGGGTTGTTCAGCCTGGAGAAGGCTCTGGGGAGACCTCGGACCTTCCAGTCCCTAAAGGGGGCCTAGAGGAGAGGTGGAGACAAACTTTTTAGAAGGGCCTGAAGGACAAGGAGTAATGTTTTTAAACTAACAGAGGGTATATTTAGACTAGATAGAAGGAATTTTTTTTATGCCAAGGGTGGTAAAACCCTGGCCCAGGTGGCCCAGAGAGGTGGTAGATGCCCCATCCCTGGAAACATTCAAGGCCAGGTTGGATGGGGCTCTGAGCAACCTGATCTAGTCAAAGATGACCCTGCTGGTGGCACGGGGGTTGGACTAGATGGCCTTTAAAGATCCCTTCCAACCCAAAGTATTCCATGATTCTATGACCATGGGATTCAAGGACTGGGAAAGAACTTCCTGGTGTGGACGTGCTGCTCCTTAGCTACGTGGACCTGCATGTGAGATAGTCCTGTGTGTCTTGAAAGGGGGAATAAGGGAAGGCTGGAGGTTGCAGAAGCTATGTCTGAGAGGAAGTCCAGGATGTGTTGTGTGGGGGGTGAGAAATGGAACAGGAGAAGGGTCCTAGATGGACCCTTGGCAGGTCCTCCTGGTGCCCACGCGGCACTTTCCACTTTGCCAACAGAAAAGAAAGCCAGCTATAGCCTTAAATTCTTCCTTAATAGGGATGTAATTTCAGATGGAAGAGAACAGAGAGGATGGATAAATTTACAGAGAAAAATGGGAATATAAACCATCAGGATTACCTCAAAAAAATGCAAGTTGTTTAAATGATGGGGCTACTTCTCAACTTGACCAGACTAAATTACAATCTGTCTTTTTGGGCTTGCACTCTCAAAGCGGTGCCACCCACACTTGGGCAGAAAAGGAAACAAAGACAAAAAGTGATTTAAAAAGGGTTCTAAATAAAATTATCCTTAAAAAATGGCAGGCTGCAGATTATGAGAGCGGGGAATTGCTTGCTGCTTCTATGGTTACGCTGCACCAGGACCATTTCTTTCCTCCACTTCTGCTGTGCTCTTATTATTTTTCACATTTTATCCTTTCTAAAATCCTCTCATGCCCAGCGAGGGCTGAGAACTGCAGTGTTACTGTATCATATAGCATGCAAATATATATATATACACACACACAAAATGAAAAAAAAAAAAGAATTTGTGTCAACTCAAACCCAGATATTCAAACACCAGGGACGTTTGTTTCATGTAGGTGGTTTATTGTAAGAATTTACAGATTTCTGAGGTTTTACCCCTTTTTTTCACAAAATAACAGAGCGATCTTGTTAACACAGACACGGGCAGGTTAAACCGTGTGCTCAGATGAGCTCTTCTTCACCTGGAAGAAGAATTGAAATAAATTAAAACCCTTTTAATGATTATTTTTATTATTATTTAAAACTTCTGTCTCCTCCAAAGTTGACTACTTCAACTCGCTAATATTCCTTACCCCTGCCCCCAAAACTCTTTATCAAGTCTATTTTTCCTTGGAAGTTTGAAATATCTTTATCTACTTAATTTTGCTATGGAAATCTCTTTAGCTACAACCTCGTATTAGAGATATTTTTAAGTCCTTGCGTAAAGTCAAGATACTAAGAAAAAATTAAAAGCAGTAATTGCAAACGAATCCAATAATCCAGAAAAAAACCACCCAAACCCACAGAAAATTATGTCAAATCTGGATGTACGCTCTCATGGACTTCTTTTGCTTAAAATTATTAAGACTACTTCAACTCGCTAATATTCCTTACCCCTGCCCCCAAAACTCTTTATCAAGTCTATTTTTCCTTGGAAGTTTGAAATATCTTTATCTACTTAATTTTGCTATGGAAATCTCTTTAGCTACAACCTCGTATTAGAGATATTTTTAAGTCCTTGCGTAAAGTCAAGATACTAAGAAAAAATTAAAAGCAGTAATTGCAAACGAATCCAATAATCCAGAAAAAAACCACCCAAACCCACAGAAAATTATGTCAAATCTGGATGTACGCTCTCATGGACTTCTTTTGCTTAAAATTATTAACATTTAAGAACTTTTTGTTCAGAATCAAACAAGCAACGGGCAGTTTCCCCTCTTAGGGAAAAGATATTTGTCTGACCAACACCACTGAATTCCCATTTCCTCATCTGACTTCAAGATTGTCTGTGTTAATTCCCTTTAAAACACGATCTAGTTTCTACATCGTTAACTTTACCTCTTGGATTTGGCTGAAGCGCTTTTTTCCGATTAATCCCTGGTTACGGTATTGCGAGGAAAAAACAGAACAAGCAGGTTAAGAAGCAACTCATGCAAATTCAGGCAAAATTAGGCACGTATTTATAACTGGCAAATGTATTGTGAGGAGCACAATACAGCACTTAACTGCAGTACGGTTTATATTCCAGGCAGTTTGTAAACACACATGATATTAAAACATATTTGCATCCCAGTACAGCACCGTTTTTTAGCTGCTAAATGTCATATACATCAGCTCCACGGTTACAACACAGGTTTGGAACCTGCAGCACACACCTTGACACCCCTTCTTTCTCAGGGAAATAAGCAAAATACTGAATTTCAAAGTAAAATACACGTTCAGACCCTGGGAATTCCCTCCTCCTCCTGATCCCAGCCTCAAACTCTTGGATTATTCTCCAATGCTTTTCCCTCACCCGAGTTGCTCTCCCGGGCTGTTTGAGCAGAGCAGGAGAAGCCCAGGGAGGAAGGAGGATGGGGGAAACCCCACTCAAAGCCAAAAAAAAAAACCCCACCCCAAAAAATCCATTGAGGCTAAAGATCTCTTTTAGCAGCTTTTTCATGTCAAACTTCACACTTGTTAGTAGAACTGCACAAGCCAAAGAACTTGGAAGTCACCCCGTGGAGTGCTTTCCATTCAGTTTTAGGGCCGTAACCTTCCCCTCTAACCAGACTGGGACCAGACGTACCGTAACCAGTCTGGTACCAGACGTACAAGCACGACATGACTCCACAACAACTTACATGCCGTAACCTTCCCCTCTAACCAGACTGGAACCAGACGTACAAGCACGACATGACTCCACAACAACTCCTATTTCACTGGTTTTGTTTAAATATAGGTACTCACAGAGCAGCAGCACCAGAGATGATCTCAATGAGCTCCTTGGTGATGACGGCTTGACGGGTACGGTTGAACGTCAAGGTCAATTTGTCAATCATCTCAGCTAGAAAGAGTTAAGGTTGGAATTTAAACACAGGGTAACTACTTAAATACAGACAAAGAGAAGCTGTACGGACAGAGTATCAAACAATCTTGTAAATCCACTGAAACAATCAAGAGACTTAGTGTACTTTTCATTCTTTTCCCCTACAGATAACACTACTAGTAGACAACTTAGAAACTTGATGATTTTGCTTGAGGCACCAGAGTTAAGACATCTGAAGAACAGCTGACAGACGAG